GCCCGGCGGCTGCATTGTGGAGATGGCAGTTTCCAATAACTCCCGTCACGTGGCATTGCTGTCTGACACCGGCAAGCTCTGGATTGGCTCTTCCGACATCCGCATCAAGTACTGTGAATACGATGTGAAAAGTCAAGTGAAGCCGAAGCAGATTGCATGGTAGGTTCTGCATGACTGTACGAGGTAACAGGCTAGAGAAGTGAGGATATGGTTGGGTTATTCTCATTCAGATACTGGTTTTACTTACGCTGTGTTTGTGATGAATTGTATTTGGTGTGTTCTCTTTTCGTGGATTAAGTTCTTTGTGTCTGATTTTTATGAAGTTGCTTCCTTCAGATATTCCTTTTCTTTGCACTGAAATGATGGTGGCAGATTTTGGAATGTTTGTAGGATAAGAATATATATTTATACAGAGTTTATGTATTTAACTTTTTTTTTTTCAAAAAGTTCAAAATATACTTCTTAACCAGGTGTGGTACAGGAGCTGTAGTGCTACTTTGGGACATGACACTAGAAGTAGTCAATGTTAATGGTGATGCCACAAGCTACTACTTAGATTCTGCGTCACATCTAGTGCAGGAACCAGATGGCGTGAGAGTTTTAGGAAGTACTGCTCATGACCTTCTACAAAAGGTAGACTTGAAAAACATACATGAAAAAATTGTGCTGAAATGTGGATTATTTTGTGCATGTGTTTTGTGGTTACATTTGTTGCCTTTGGCAAAAGTGGCTGAATACCAGTGATTTTATTTCAGGTGCCACTGGTTGTGACAGAGACCTTAGGCATTGGCTCTATGGCTCCTGGTGCTCTCCTCCTCGAAGCAGCCAAAGGGTTTCAGGTACTGATAGCTACAGAATCTTTTAGCTATATGTGCAAATGTTTTAAAGCTCAGATGCTTGAGAACTAATTAGCTTTGTTGCAAGAATTTTTATAATGGAAAGTGTACTTAGATATTGTCATCCTAATTTTGCATTCAGATGTATTAAAGAGAATATCTGATGTTTCTTTCCTGTAGGAGAGGAGCACAACAGCCAATGATTGTCTTGCCATGATTAAGGACACTCTGGAGGAGGCAGTTAACCACTGTCTACAAGCAGCGCAACATGAGTATCGGCCACAGACTCAGAAAATGCTGCTTCGAGTAAGAAATCTAAGATCCTTTTGTTTGTATTTTTTCCCAAGAAAGAAATGTGTTTTTGCTGGAAAAACAGAGTGTAAGCAAATCATAGTACATCAATTTTTAGTTCATTCTTGTTGATTTTTTTCCTTTCTTGCTGTGAATAAACTCTCCTAAGGTCTTACACATTTTCTTTATATTAAAAGCTTCACAATTTTTCACTTACAGGCTGCATTGTTTGGAAAAAGCTTCTTGCCAGAGATCAACCCAGACCCATGTAAAAAGGCAATTTTTACTCTCAGAGTACTCAATGCAGTTAGGGATTACAGAGTAGGTAAGTTTTTAAAGACAGTGTTTGCAAGGCCAAAAGTATAAGATTAAAGTTTCATGCAAGTAATTCTAGTGACCTCAGGCATTCTTAAAAGAAGATTACAAATAAATCTAGTTTGTTTTTCTGGAGTATATTGTCATTGTCATAGTAGTATGATATAATCACTTTTTGCTCATTAAATAACAGTGGAAACAAGTGTGTAGATATCACCAGCCTTTCTTTCCCCAAACAATAGGTTTACCCCTCACTTGGAACCAGCTAGAACACCTTACCCTTCCTGTGTTACTGGACAGGCTGGTCTTTCGAAGATTCTTCCCCCTAGCCCTTCAGATTGCCTCATTTCTCAAGATGCCGGAGTCTGATGGTGCCTCTCGCATACTGGCACATTGGGCTTGCTATAAGGTATGTATTTGTGTGTCTGTGTGTGTGTGCACTTGTCAGTGTGAGTGTATGTATTCATTGTGTGTATGTATCAGTGTGCATGTGCGTATGTATCAAACAAAAGTACTAACCATGACTACCATGTCCTGCAGGTATTACAGCCATCACAGAAAAGTGATGAACAGATAGCAAAAGAGATAAACAGTAAATTGGGCTACACGCCAGGGATATCATACACTGACATCGCTAATCGAGCAGACCAAGCAGGCAGGAAGCAGCTTGCTATAAAGGTATGGAAGGTGCCTAAAATTTCTTATAAAAGACTGCTAATTTTTAATGAATGTTTTCAGATAAAATCTTAGCTTATGTGTATATTGTTAATTCTAAAACTTTCAGATCAGTGGGCTTATGCGTAAGATTTATTCATAGTTTCATCTGAGAAGTTATGTAATATCTATTATTTATTCTTGGTTTCAGTTGATTGAATATGAGTGCAGAGCAAAGGAACAGGTCCTGGTACTGATGAGACTAGGGGAAGACCAGACCGCACTGAGACGAGCCCTACAGAGTGGAGATACTGACCTTATTTATACTGTGCTCCATCACCTGCGGCAAAAACTCTCGTCTGGGGATTTCTTGGTGAGCCTCAGTGTTCTGTCCAGTCTTTCTG